TGGTGTCTGTTGTGATGTTTCCCCTTTCATCTCTGATTTTGTTGATTTGGAGGTGCTCTTTCTTTCTTTTGGTTAAATTGGCTAGCGGTCTGTCAATCTTGTTTATCTTTTCAAAGAACCAGCTTTTGGATTTGTTGATTCTTTGTATTGTTTTCTTTGTTTCCATTTCATTAATTTCTACCCTGATTTTTGTTATTTATTCTTGTCTGCTGGGTTTGGGTTTCATTTGTCGATTTTCAAGTATGTTGAGTTGCAATGTTAAGTCAATTTGTCCCAGAGGCTTTGTTGTGTTGTATTATACTTTTCATTTAGTTCCAGTAATACTTTTATTTCTTTCTTAGTTTCTCCTTTGACCCATTAGTTGTTTAGCAGTGTGTTGTTCAATCTCTGTGAGTTTGTGTAGTGACTAAGGCTTTGTCCAGTGTTGATTTTGAGCTTTATTACATTGTGATCTGATAGAATGCATGGAATTATTTCAATTTTTTTGGTGTGTGTTTGTTGAGTTTTGTTTTGTGGCCCAGTATGTTGTCAATTTTTGGAGAAGGTTCCATGGTGTGCTGAGTAGAAAGTATGTCCTTTGGTGCTTGGGTGGAATACTCGGTAAATGTCTGTTAAGTCCACTTGATGTATGGTATTGTTTAATTCAGATGTCTCTGTTAATTCTCTGCCCTTTTGTCCTATCTAATGGAGACAGTGGGGTATTGAAGTCCCCTACTATTAATGGGTCTGGATTAATCTGGGTCTTAAAGTTCTGTAGTATTGTTTTTATGAAGCTGGGTGCACCAGAGTTTGGTGAATATATGTTCATGATTGTAATATCTTCTTGGTTTATTGTTCCTTTAATCAGAATGAAGTGGCCCTCTTTATCTCTTCTGATTAGTTTTAAAGTCTGTTTTGTCAGATATTACAATTGCAACACTTGCTTTTTCCTTAATACCATTTGCTTGGTATATTTTTTCCATCCTTTCACTTTAAGATAGTATCTGTCCTTGAAAGTGAGATGGGTTTCTTGCAGACAACAAAAAGATGGGTTTTGTTTCTTAATCCATTCACCTAGTCTGTGTCTTCTGACTGGGGAGTTCAGTCCGTTAATATTTAAAGGAAGCAGTGGTGGTTGGTTCCCTGATGTCTGAGGCGCCAAGACAATGAATGGGGCATGTCCCAGGCTAGGAGAAGGGACTGGCAGGTGAGATTGGAGGTTGAATGAGGCTAGGGGAGTCAAGGCATGGAGGGTGCAATTGACTTACCCTGGAGAGAGGCCTGCTGGTGGTGCCAGCCCAGGGAAGCAGAGGGAGGTGAGGGTAGGGCAGGCCCAGAGGGCTTGAGAAGGAACTGGGTTGGTCTGGATGCAAAGGATCAGGAACCAGTGGTGATTCCCGGGTGTCTGGGGCGCCAAGACAGGGAATGGGACAGGACCCAGGCTAGGAAGAGAGACTGGCGGGGGAGATGGGAGGGTGAATGAGGCTGGGGGCGCGGTCAGCTTACCCTGGAGAGAGGCCTGCAGGTTGTGCAGGCCCAAGGAAGCAGAGCTAGAGACTAATTTCTTAATAAGGGTCATACTTCACTCACCTTTCAGGACAGTTTCCCTAGGACAACTGTTTGGTTTCTAGACAAAGTAGTATTTTGAATACACTTTGAAGGTAGCAAAAAAACAAGTATACAAATTACTTTAGTAGGTAGGTCAATCTTTCCTGTTTGCTTTCAAACAGTATTCCGTTGGCTTTGTGCTTGCCAAACAGTATGTTTAATGGTCACTGTTACTTTTTCTTTTAAATAGGCTGAACATATGCAAAAGAAAAGGAGAAAACAAGAAAATAAAGATGAAGGTAAAAAGTGAGATTCTGAACTGACTTGTTTTGACTTTTGATCTTTTTTTGAGACAGGGTCTCCCTGTAGCCCCAAGCTGTCCTAGAACTCACTATGTACACCAGGCTGGCCTTGAACTCACAGAGATCCACCTGCCTCTGCCTCCCAAGTGCTGGGATTAAAGGCGTGCGCCACCACGCCTGGCTTGTTTTGACTTTTTAAAAAAATATATTATTTTTATTTTATGTGGATGAGTATATTGCCTGCATGTATGTGAGTGCACCTGTGTCGTGCAATGCTGCACAGAGGTCAGAAGAGGGCTTCAGATACCCTGGAACTGGAGTTAAGGATGGTTCATAGCCGCCATATGGGTGCTGGGGATCGAACCCGGGTTCCTCTGCAAGAGCAGTCAATACTCTTAACCACTGAGCCATCTCTCCAGCCCCTTGTTTTGACTTTTTTATGGGTGTTTTATCATTTTGTTTTTGCTGATTTTGGGTTGTGGGCAACTGAGGAAACACAGAGGACCCTTTGCTGTGTTCCCACACTAAGATGCGGCCAGTGTGAATGATGGTAGAATGTTAAACTGTTAGCTAGTGGAATTTGTTTTGGAAGACTGGCATAGCAGCTTACATTTTCCTTGACATTGATGGTTTCCGTGCTTTAAAGATAGCTTTAAAATCATGTGTTGTTTTGAATCTAAACTATAAGTTTTGATATTTGCAATTTAATATGTAGGGCTGCCCAAATAAAAATGTATGTTTGTCTCTTTTCCCCATTTTCCTCCTCCTATAGCATTGCCACCACCACCACCTCCTGAGTTCTGCCCAGCTTTCAGCAAAGTAATTAACCTTCTCAACTGTGATATTATGATGTACATTCTCAGAACCATATTTGAGAGGGCAGTAGACACAGATTCTAACTTGTGGACAGAAGGGATGCTCCAAATGGTATGTTTACCTGAAATTTTTTCTTTGTGTTCTTGTGGGGTATGGAAAATGATCTCTGGTTTAATGTCCGGCAGAACCACATCAGGAACATATGATACTTAGTAATCATTGAAATAGTTTACCTGTTGCTCAAATTTTCTTGATAATACATTCTCAAGTTTTTAGCATTCGTATTGTTAGGAGCCATTTATGTTTTAAAAGATTCGAAGGGATGGATAGAGGGAGGAAGGAAAAAGGAAAAGTAAAAGGAAAGGATAGGAAAGGAAGAGGCTACTGGGTACAGAAACATAGAATAGAATTGTTTTACCCAGGAATTGAGAACCACAACTGGAAAGAAGGACAAATCAGGACTAGGTGATCTCAGAAAGGCTTGAGCAAACATCTGAATGTGTAGAATCCCAGTGCTGGGCAGCCAGGGTTCCAATCCTGCCAGCTCACCACCTGTCAATTCTGTCTTTCTTTCTGGTCCCTAGCTCCTTCCCCAGGAACTCACCATCAGAATCTTGCTTTCTTACGGGATGGGACCCTTATCCTGTGCCTTAGCCAATTGTCCCAGATACCACCCCTCAGTCCCCTACCCTCCCCACCAGCCTCACCTGCCCCAGCATACTCCCTGTGAATCCTGTGGCTTCTGGCACAGTAAGCCTAGGAATGACGATGGAGAAGATATCAAAGAAAATGAAGAAAGCACCACTCATGGTGGTGGAACATGCTTTTAATCTCAGCACTTGGGAAGCAGAGGCAGGCAGATCTCTGTGAGTCTGAGACCAGTCTTGTCTATATAGTGAGTTCCAAGCCAGCCAGGACTACATAAGTGAGACCGTGTCTCAAAACAAATTGGGGTGGCT